TCAGAGAAGCAATCAACAGGCCAGTATTTGCCTTGCACTGCACAAATCTGGCCTGTATGGGCAAGTGGCAGGAAGAAAGCCATTGTTCAGAAATCCCTGAAGAGGTCCAGTTTGCTGGTTGCCAGAAGTCATGTAGAGGACACGGCAGACATGTGGTCAGAACAAAATTGAACTTTTTTGTCAAGGTACCAAATTTATTCTTTAGCAGGGAAATAGATTAAAGTCAAAGTTGGGGGATGGATAGAGGAATACACAGGAAAGCTCTATTTAAAAAAATAAATAAATAAATAAATAAAAAAAAAAGGCTTGCAATGTTCGGTAGACTTGTTTTTTAGCATGAGAAATTATCCTAAAAATGCTGCCCTGGCTGCGGTAAAATGGCCTAGTCAAAGTACAGATCTAAATTCAATTAGTGCTGATCGCCGGCGCTAGTCATCCAGTCTGAAAGAGGTTTAGCCATTTGGTTTAAAAGAGGAACAGGTAAACATTTTATTGACTGGTTGCAAAGCTGGTAGAGACATACCCAAAGGTATTCACCTCTAAATTAAGGGGAAGATTTGTAAACTGACTCTTACTGAATCTATTAGCACTAAATGCATGCTAATAGTTGAAATGGTAGCACTTTTTTAAAGTTACCATCCTTTGCTTAAAGTTTTATGTTGCTTGTCTGCAGCAGGGATTACCACAAAGTGTTGCACGTGAGCCCATAAGCACACAAAAGCATGAATGTGTGGAGAGTGATGTGCCAGCAAAGGACAAAAAGAGGTTGCTGAAAACTCCCCAGTTTCCTGCTTTACGTGGGTTTGCAGGTGTGTGTGTGCGTGCGTGTGTGTGTGTGAGTCCTTGGTGGTTTTGTCTTTATAAGCAGGAGAAGGAATGAGGTGGAGGCAGATTGGGGGGAAAAAGATTGAGCACATAGCAATCAGTCCTCCATCTATCTGTCTGGATAATTAATATAAATCTGCTCATTTATCATCAGCCAATCAATCTAGATTTACAATCCCACACACAAGCACTCTTTGCACTTTTTGATAGCCTGATTGTCTGGTTAGATGGCTCCGCAGAAATCTGTAATGAATGAGAATGAAGCAGTGAAGGAGGGTTTAGAGAAAAAAAATATTCTGATTAGAGACAAATGAGCGAGAGATTGATGGTGCTATAAAAGGCTGCACATGCTTCATTTATCGCTAATTCTGGCGTGGCTGGATTGGTAAAAATGCAAGGACAGGACCACCCCACCACAGACATGTGAAAACTTTTCCATTAAAAATGCCAGTTCTGTACTGCTAGACAGCAGATAGGCCAAAACAGACTGGAAACATAGTATATACCTGTTATAGTACATATAAATATGTACATACAAATAAAAAAGGGGCAACGGACATTCGTGTTGTAAAAATTACTTGGCTCTGCCGAGCTGTATTAGGCTCAAAAACCAAAATGGAGGGTTTGGAGAGGCCTCACCCGGCGGTCTACCAACTGTGGCACTTCAGCTCCTTCACTTTGGCTCTTCTAACACTAAATTCTTTTTGTTTTCAATTTTACAATTAGAATTTGCAGTTCCTTTTTTTGTCTGTTTATATTAAATATCTGCATAGCACATATCTAAAAGAAAGGCCCTAATGCAACAAAGCTTTTTTTTTCTCTTTGTAAGAGTAGGAGGACTCAATGTATAAACGTCTGAAAAAGAAATAAAATTTTATTATTTCAGCTTCACCACTAGAACCACTGAAAGATAAGATAAATCTTAGTGGTTAAAGTCAAACCATGTTTTACAGCAAAGGAGCGAAAGTGGCTTTTTAAATTAAAAGGTTGTTGACTCTGGTCTAGACAAAGATCAAACCAAAGCATCTGCATAGCATTAGACTGAGAAAACCATTATCCAGTGATTGCAGTAAAAAGGATAGAGTTGTGATGCTGAGGGTGCAGAAATACTGACAAAGAAAAAAAAAAGGTGCTATTTTCTGCACAACAATCAACTATTTTAAGTTAGATTTTTGTAAATTAATTTAGATTTGAAATGTAATAGTCTTGCAGGTTTCCTGGATATTAAAAAAACAACACAAAAGAAAATTATATAGTTATTTTTAGATTATTTTGTGTTTTAACAGCAAGGAGGACTGTTCTTCAGTAAAAGCATCTGGATGTTTGTTATTCTATCGGTAACAAGTTCAAATAAAAGCAAAAACATTAAAACGTAGGTTTAAAATGTGTTTGAGGTCATATTTTATATTTTGAGCATTTTTTCCATATTTCTGTGTCGTCTTTGAAGGAAAGAATTGTGCAGCAATTTTTTTATGCATCAACCACTTAAGATGGCAAAGCTAATCTAGGCCAGTTCAAAGACTGATGGTTAAATAAATTGTATTGACTATTAGTTAAAAATCTTGTTCATTTGCACTCGATCAGATTCACCTGAGAACTTTTTAAAGGCCACAAGCCGAAAGTGGCTAAAATTTAAGTTTCATCACTAAACACATTTTCTGAATAAACTGCTGATATTTGCTTAGTTTATTTATCTATTTTTTATTTTTTATCTTATTTTTTTGCAAAGGTAGACATTAGAAAATCAATGATACTTTAACCTTCTTTGCCCAGCTGGTTCATTATGTTAATTGAACACCAGGCATTTGGGGATATGCCGACTGGAAATTCATCAGTTGCTAATCAATTCAAATTAAATTTCTCTCATTTAGAATTAGATTAACTCTAAAAAATTTTAAAAAGTTGTAGCTGTACTAAGAATGTTATTTACATTAAAAATTAAAAAGTATTAATCTACTTTTACATCCTTTATTAATCTATAGGGACCAATATGTTAAAGGATCCTTGTTCCAAGAACTTTAACAAGAACTGAGCAGAAATCAACCCTCCTCTATAATTTATCCTATCAATCCTGTTCTATAAAGTTGAGGTCAGCAGTCTGGACTCTGCTTTACGTCAAACTTCAAACGCCTGCATGTATGGAAGTGATTGGAACGTCTAAATTCAAAGATTTGGTGGCGTGACCCAATTAACCTTTGGCTGTGTAGGGTTTTTTCAATGGTTTCTCATTGTGTACAGAACCGTGTGGCTGTTAATCCTTTTTTGATTAAATTTGCCTTCCCATCTCCTAAAGCTTCCTGACTTAATGAACTTGATGCATATTTTACACATTCCATAGATTTGTTTGGAAGCTGGCATCTAGTGATGAAAATTACAAACAGCTGCAATTTTATGTTGCATCTAAAATACTGCTGAGATAGAAGAGCAATTATTGCAAACAACATACCTTGTAATATAATTACAAAACATATTTACAAATAGAAAAAAATCAAATATACCAGCAAATAAAATATCCAAGTCAATATTCAGAGGTTGCTAACTGCATCAGACCTTATTTTGCATCCAATATACTTAAATTAGCAGCTACCGAACAACCAAACTACAAATTGATTCTTTCAATACTTGTTACTAAATTAAAGCATCTATTTTCTAAAATGGTTTCCTTCATTTAATCCCAACAAAATTAGAACTGCATCCTTATGTGTTTCACACTTTATTCATAGAAAAGCACTGAGATTTCAACACAAATCAATATAAAATGGTAGTAGCGTTACATAAATAGTAATAAAATCTCGCTTTATAGACAGTAGCTCAAGAAATCGCACAAAAAAAAAGGTACAAAAAAAGTGATAAGCTATGATACTTTTGTGGCAACAAATACTGGAAATACCTTTTCAAAATCAGTAGCACAAAGAGGCAAGAAACACTTTCAATTATCCCTTAAGTTAAGAACGGATCTGAAACAAAAACAAAACAGGGAAACAGAAGGTGAACTACGTCTCTACTAGCAAACAGTAACCTCCTACAAACAAAAGAAAGACAGGGGACGACCCTCAGGAATTACGTTTGTGTTATGCAGTTGGTGAAGCGGTGTAACGTTTTCGAAAACTTTAGAACATTTCGATTTTAAAACCTTGCATCTTTTTCTTTTTATTAGTTGCATAAGCCGAGTGTGTCTGCTCCAGCACATTTAAGCTGCTGTGCCCCTAAACACACCGCAATGCATTGCTTCAAGTCCTAGATTTCTAGAAGATACTTCCAACTGGGAATAAAAACAAATAATAATCATTGATAATAATATAATAACTTTAACTCTGAGGAGAGAAGGTAATTTAAAGATGGTATTATGAATAAACAGGCCATCAGGTATTGTTGCTGACACAAACGTTTGTGCCTCACTGCAGAGTAACGGCGTTAGAAGACACCGACGGCTTCGGTCCTGATATTAAAAGGACAGAAATAAAGAAAGCAAAGACACACACAAAAACAAAAAGAAACTTTGTACATTGAACGCTCAGAAAGGCATTTTCTGCCATTGGTTCATTTTTTACGCCTCCTTAAGAAGTTGCAGCAGATGCAGGCCGGTGACTGCGCATTGAGTCAATACAAGCACACCTCCGCTCAACTCCCTTCCTTACTATTCCTCCTCCTTTCTGATAGTGGTCCGGCCCACTAGGTCTCCTTCTGGCTTCTACATTTCTCAACCAGGCAGAGACTCTCAAAGTGGTTCTGCATAGTCAGGTTTAGTACAAATCAGTTTACAAACGTATGCCTCCCTCATTCTTTCCAACTCTGAAAAACTTTCTATTGGAAAACTGTTTTTTTTTTTTTCTTTTGTCATTGCAAACTGAATAAAAAAAATGAAACACCATATTTAAGCAAATAAAAAATGTACACAGGAGCACCTGAGAATGCCTTGAAATCTTTGCTCAAAAAAAGAAAAAAAAAAATCAAATTCCCCATTCGAAACAATTCAAGTACACCCCGCCAAAGAAAAACAAACACATAACATACTTATTATAAATAATTATAACTTTACAATTTTGTCAATTGACACTTTATTATTTACAATATCTTAAATGCTTAATGCTACTATTTTTGTTTTGTTTCTTTAAGTGATGTCCCTGAGAACTGAGTTTAGCCTTTTTCCCCTCTTTTTTTCCTCAGTTTTCCTCTTTTCCATTCAACTATCTGCATTTCTTCTGATCTTAAAAGGCGCAGTTATGATCGACTACCTCGGTAGTACATGAAAGTAACTCGTATGGAATGTCAAAGCAGATAGGAAAATGTCCTTATGTTTTAGAACCCTTCCACGTTTTTAAAGTCTCTTTTGCTTTAAAATACAGTCTAGTTCTAATTCTGTGTCTAACACTTCAAACTCAGTGATTTAAAAAAAACAAAACAATCAATAAATAAATGCTGAACCAGGCAGGAACGTACTGAAGAGGTATCTGTGTGAAGTGCTTGTAGATTTAGTCTGATCAGTTAAAGACTCAAGCTCTAGTTGGACTGCCATTGGAAATGACTTTTTGCCACCGGGTGAGGAAACAACATGGACGTCACTTATCAGGAGGTTAGCTCCATTTGGTCGCAGTTACTAACAAAGTTATCATGTAACAACAAAATATTGTAATTTTTGTAGAGTGCACGGTTTTTGTCTGAAGCCTTAAGAAAACGGCCAGTCTTCTTCACAGTAAAGAATGATAAGATCTAGTAGCATTCGCTGGAAGCATCACAGTGTTTCCATCACAAGAACAAAATACTGGAGTTTGAACATTTTATGAATGTGTGCATTGCTTTACTATAATGCAAGGGGGGAAAAAAACCAGGATTTATTGTTTTTCCTTTTTTTCTTTTACTATATTCCAACTTTTCTTTTTTGTACACTTTATTGGGCCATTTTGATGATGTAGAATACACCCAGAAAAAAAGGTTGTTGATAAATCTTTTTTTTTTAGCATATGGATGCTAACTTATCCACCAAACAAGTATAATATTTAGAAAAATATCAATGTATTTATGATTTTTAGTCACTTAAAAAAAAAGGCTAAATAAAAATTGACACATCACCTAAAGATGCTCGGTTTAATTTAAGCTTAGCAACAACATGCTAATTATTCTATACAGGGAGCGATTTATTTAAAATAGAAAATTGAAATTAAAAACATTTTTTGGACGCTTTTGCTGAACAAAACTCTAAAAAAAGAATAATGAAATAAAATTATTTTTGAAAAAACTTAAAATATGACCCAGACTAAATTTTTTTGCAACTAGCATGACTTTCTGCATTTTGGCGGGAACATTCTAAAGGCCGGTTTGGAACTGGAGACTTTTACTAAACATTTCAGAGTCGCTTTAAATACAAAATATGTTTAGGGAGAGTATAATTGTAATGTCATTGTAATGACACAAAGTATTTAACAACTTAAATGTTAACTTTGTTAACTAGCAAACATTTATGCAGGGTTAGCCGTTGTCCCAGATTTTGGCTAAATGCTAAAATTAGCCTCAAACAGATATTTCCTGATACTTCAGACCTAATACCTCTCACTATACAGACAAAATAACAAAACTGCTTTGACTTTTAATATTTTTCTTCTATATTATGTAGAAAATGCCACATTATTGCCCTTTTAGAAGATACAGTGAAACTATATTTCTTTGGGGAATGACGTGCACCTGAACTAAAATTTGTAAGAATATAGGTGCAAGTGTGTCAGGATGGTCCCTAAGGCTTGGATTCATAGTTTCCCCTGATTTAATGGAGACAAAGATTTATGTTTAGGGTTCTTATACAACAATAATTAAGTTTCTCAATGTGCCAGGTTAATAAGTTTAAATAATACAGGTGGGAAAAATGCTGTTTTAATAAATGTTCTTGTGACGGAAAAGGATTTATAACCAAGAACGCGGTCCAAATAGTTTTTAAGTTTTGTAACAAAAAAGTAGTGACGATTTACACTTTACTAAGTTTGGGGCACAAACAGCTGAGAAGCAGTGAAGTGGCATATCTGGACATGAGGAACACATTTACCCGATCAAACACTGCGTTTCTGTCACCTAAAGGGTGACATGAAGGAATATACTGATGTTCACATAAAGGCTAAACTATTAACTGCAGCAGCCAGGACGTCACCCTCAAAACATGCACTCTAAAGCAGAATCCTCACCGTGCAGCAGGTGAAGTTTTTTAGATATTCAACTACTGAGTTTTCACAAGAAAGAGCACACAGGTAGTTCTATAGTCCGTTCTTGCTCCTTTAAGAAGCCCTGAATGAAACAAGAGGCTATTTCTAACAAAAGTTAAAGCTGACATTCGAGGTATGACAGTAACACTGTGTGTTTAATCGCTGCGTTCCTCAGGAAGTTCCCTTCACTTTTAAAGCCGATTCTTCTTCTTCTTCTAAACTTAGAGTACACACCCAATCCACCAGGAGGCAAACATTTCCTTTGCTTTTATAATCACATTCTTTTGATTTTCTAATAATTTCAAACATTTACTGGATGAATTTAATCGGATACTTCTATGACACCTTAGGTCCTCTTTGCTATAACAGTTATGTAGACCAAGTATAGCGAACACTTTTTGGTTCACATTCAGGAAACAACACAGAACAAAACCATATGACTTGGTCAAGAAATGGCTCAACTTAAAGAAAGAAAAAAAAAAAAAAACTTAAATAAACCAATAAGTTTAACAACTTCTCAAGAAGAAGGTCTTTGAGGCAGAGTTAAGGTCAGCCAAAGCGTTCCCTCACCAACATCATCAGTTTCTTTTTGCCCTTGTAGATCTGTTTTAGGTTGTCTATGAACTGGGCGAACTGGATGTGGCCATCCTGTGCCAAAAGGAAAGTCTCCCGTGCTTTGCTGAGGAACTCTATGAACTCCCCATAGTGCCGCGGACTGATGTGCGTTAGACGAGAGTGCGTGGTGTTGATGTACGCCGAGATGGTGGCATCCAGGAGCTGTCTCAGGGGCGCCTTGTCCGTCGACATGAGCTTTCCAGAGTTCCTCCTTCCGGGAATGCCTGCCAGACCCGGCGCAGTCATGGTGCACCGCCGCAAGATGTCAGAGAGAACCGTAGCGCAGTGAACGCTCTTCACCACAAGGGGGATAATGGCTGCCAGTTCATTTTTCCCCAGTGAGTGGCTGAGTGCGCAGGCCCAGAGCACGTCGTTAATGGCGGGGTGTGTGTCCTGGTTGTAGGCGAGGTTAAGGTGAGTCATGGCCAGAGATGCCAACTTGAACGACCGAAGCGGATATCCTCTGTGCTCCATGTACCGCGCGATGGTAAACAGCTGAGAATACGTCATGCCTGTGGACGCAGCGTCGATGACGATCTGGTAGGCTGTCTCAAAGGCGATGTGGTCTTTTTCGCAGAGCGTCAGAGCCGAAAGGGCGCAGTTCTGAGGGTCTTTCATGGCACACTGCAGAGCCAGGGTCCTCGCACAACTGGCCAGCTCCTCACGCTGCGGGTAGTCGAGGCTGAGGCGCAGGATGGTGTTATGGGACATGACAGTGGCTGCCACAATGCTGGTGGCCTCTGTCGGAGTGAACAGAGTGTACCAGCTCTGCAAGATGCTCACTAACGCCCGCAGACCTGATGGGAGAGACAGATGGGATGGGACACTCAGTGCATAGATAGTATTTCAACGACTCTGCAAGAAATGTCCAACAGGATGGAAAGAAAACTGACAAGATGACTAAATTATCTCATTGTGCAAACCTTTTAAGAACCATTTAAATGTATCTAAAGAGACACGCGCAACAGGATTTATAGCCATATCTTAATTTTAAATGATAATTTTCTTAGACTCATTTTTTAAAATTTATTGAACGACTTGCAACCAATTTCGTACGAATGGATTGTGAAGTTTAATGAATATAATCTTTCCGCACAAGACAGGCTTTAATTGTAAACTTGAGAATGTAGTTAGAGAAATAAATACATTTAAAGTTTTTCCACATTTTTCAAACCTAAATTCTATTCCTATTGACAATAGTTTCCAATTTTGCGCATTTCTTTAAAGGTTGACAGCTTTTTACGATAACTGACTAACTCAGCACAGTATATAAAAATCTTGAACTTACCGAATAAGGAACGGAGTACTGTAACTAAAGGCTATTTTGTGTGATTTTTTACCTTTATTTGGTTTTTAAAGTTCAAACCAACCAACGTATTTTAGAAGTTGTCAGGGGACTCAACAGGGTGACAGTAAGATGAGCATATATCTTATTTTCAATAAGCGTCAATTCATCTCAGCCACTAGCACTATGTTGAGTATCAAAATCCAGGTGTTTGTGATTTTATTTTTAATCAGGGTTAGTTTTCTTTTTATTTTATTATAATTTAATGATCTACAATTCATTATGGAATGAGTGGAATTTAAGTAGGGAAGTATGAATATAAGAATTCATGTGTAATTTAAACTGAACTTTCAGCTTGTTACTGTGCAGGGTGAACAAGCCATTCACTGGTTAGAACAAAAAATTAAATGTAAAGGTTCCTCTCTCTCTCAGGAAGCCACCTTTGGTTAAAGCTGCCAGCTTTGTTTCACCTGATGAGTCAGATTAACTGAAATCATGTCAGCTCTGGTAAAAAACTATTCAATGACAAAGTAACAGAGGTTCTTTTTGATAAAATAAAAAAAAACATCTTCTGCACCACTTCAAGCTTGTTTCTTTACATTTCTTATTTGCCTTAATCTTTACACATCTGGCGTTTTCTTCAGAGTCTGCATATTTTTTTTTTCAACCAACAGAATAAGAGCTTCTCCAGCAGCATCATCAAAATATCAAATACCTTGTGGAAAACTGCCGTTTACCACACCATGTGGTGAACTAAGCATATGTTCGATTATTATTGTTTCATTTTTTTTTTTTTTTTTGGTTACAGAAAGCCAGAGTCAGCCTTAAAGCTGGAAATCTAAAGAAACCTTAGGGATTGTAATTACTTGCTGGATATCACTGGGGTGCCAAAATGTAATATAAGTGATCTAATTGGTGGAACATACCGACTTCGGTGGCGCATGTTACCAGCCAGCGGACCATCTCTCTCCTCCTCCAGTTCAAGGTGGACAGAGTCATTCTCATCACCTGCAGAAAAAAAAGAGAACACAACATTTGATCACCTTTAATTAAAAAACTGTCTCAAGCAAACTAGGTTTTAAAAACAAATTTGTCTTTCATTGCGTTAATTTCAATAATATCAGAAATCTATCAGGAAAACCCACTTTCCGAATATTTATTCAAGATTCTACATTTTAAAGATGGGTATAAGGTTTAAAAATCAACATTAATGAATGTGAAAATCCATTATGTAAATTAAAACTATAAAATTAATGAATGGAATAGCAAACATTTTTTTTTTTCTTTAGCTCAAAGTGTCCTAGAAGAATCTCAGCTAGCTCATTGGTGTCAGAGGTAGGGTGGTTTATTTTGATCTGATCCAAAGTCACTTAAACGGCGCTCAATGCAGCAGCATTTCTCTGGTCATTATTGTGAAACTCCAGCTAACCTTATAGATCGTTCTGGGCCATTAACAGCCCATAATACATGAAGGTCAGAAGCTAATAATCAAGCACAACCTTCTACAGAAAACCACCTGCAGCAGCTGCTGCTCACATACAAGTTTCCTACACTTATTAATACAATAAGAGCTGTAGATTTTAAGCTAATCTAATTAATGTTTCTGATTTATGCAGTTACCCCCAAATCAGACCAATTAGAATCACTCTCTTCCTAAAAAAAAAGAGATTATTAAAGACTCAATTATCAGGGTTTAATTAACTTCATCAATGGTCTAAAATGTTCTTCCTTTGCCTTTATGTTGAAGGCTCTAGTATTGACAAGCCTTTAGGTAAATTAGAGCAGGGCCACACCCAGCATTTTAGATCTTCACATGGAGGTAGGAAATTAAAAATGCTTAATTTTATATCTGTGTGTCAATTCAAAAAATGATTCTTATTAGAAAAAAGAAATCAGACTCTGTATTAAAGGTGATTTCTTTCTTTAACAACTAAGCCTTTTTATAAAACCTTTCAACAGTCTATTTTTCTACACCACTATAAAGAAAATCATGCGAAAAAATTCAAATTGTAAGACTAAATATATATTTTATATGATCCTATTAATTTTGAGATCTTAAATTTAAACTCTGCAATTACCGTAAGTAATTTAGTTACATTTAGCAATTTATCTGTTTATTTTCTTCATTTTATGTACAGTTGACCCAAAATTGCCTTTTTGCAAACACTCCCACTGCAACTGGATTTTCTGTTTAATTTTTGTTAAGAATTAATGCTGCTAGCAATATTCAAATTGTAAAATTCAGCAGTATTTGCTATAAATGCAGAGGACTGAAGCTAACAACAGCAAGCTGCTACATAATACTTTCTAGGATATAAAAAGAAACAAAAAACACTTCATCTAACAAAATAATAAAGCGTCTTATGTAAAAGTCATATTAACATGTTATAATAAAAATAGATTACGATGTGGTTCAGTCAATGACCCTGATCTACAGTCACAGCTGCTTATTTGGAACAGTAGGAAAAAACACTGTAGACCTTTTTGTTGGAGATTGAACAGTTATTAAAGAAAAGTTGTATTTTAATACCTCTGCTTTTACATCATTTGATGTTTTTACGTTAATCTCATAATTTTTTGCAGTGGATTTTTCAAACTGCATTCAACCTTCGTACAGCACAATACCAGAACAAAGAGGCGGAGGACGCCGCAGCGACGCTCCAGTCTGGTGCGTTTTTCTCCGTTTGCTGTGGAACCAAAGATCTCTCATTATGTGGGTTCTTCTCGTCAACAATGTTAACTCTGTGTGGGATGTTAATTTGTAGTGGAGCTTTGAACGTCTGTGAAAACGTGTTAAAAGGAAACTCTAGCTGCGGTAAACTTCCTGTGGTCAAACCGTGGCAATTACAGCCTCCCCCTCGAACACACACATACCTGCAGCCCCAACTCCAACGCCACGTTGAGCAGGGTTATATCTGGCGGGCTGTCTGCGGGCGTGGCTATCTTAAAGGCATCCTGGGCCAGTTTGAAGATGAGGGAAGAAGAGTGGATGTTTTTCTGAATGGCCTCAAGCACTGTCCGCAATCTCAACATGTCCCCTTATGGATGAGAAGAAAGGAGACGACAAAGATGTTAATGACTGGTTTTACTCAGTAAAGCCTTTTCTGTGGGTGAAACAGATGAATCAAAATGAAAGTTACACATTTTTCAGTGACAAATGAGCAAAGAACAAACACACTTCCTTTTGCAACATGTCTGTCAGAAAAGGAACTTGATAGTGTCTGCAAAGCCGCAATAAGAACACAGTGTGGGAAGAAAAACGGAACATTTGTCATGCATTGTGATAATGGGAACAAGTATCTGACCATAGATATCCAAAGAGTTTGGTTAAAAATATTACCCAGCTGAGGTCAATATTAAGAAAGATATAGATGGTGATGTTTTTTTTTTTAAATGTATATATATATCCATCTATATAAATACCCGTGTAAACACCCTGTATAAGGATCCTACTATAAAAAAATAAAAAAGTGGTCATATGTGGATGCACTTTATATACTGTATATTTCGATGCACCTTTTTCTTCCTGATGTTCCTGATGTAACTGTCAGATTTATAAACTCAAATCAATCAATCAATTGAATAAGAACTGGATTTTACCCCCCCCCCCCCAAAAAAAGGATTAAACTTGACTAATCATTTATAATATAAAAAAGTCTGTTATATTTATTTTTGTATATTAATGGACTTTCCAGATACTGAAAACTAGATTTAACTCGTTCAGGCCTGTCTTCATAGAAATGTGTCTTAAGTGCTTATCGTTTAAAAACAGGCTTCATGGAAAATCTCCAGAATCTAAAAGCTCCTCTAGTTAATCAAAACATTCAGTAGGTAAATATAAGAAAGTATCTAGATCCTTCACGCCAGAGAATCTGTAGAAAACCTCTGTTGGTTTACAGGAGGGAGACGGTCATGTTGGAGCCTCTCGGAGCCTCTCAGGAAACTAAACATTTCATATATTCTATTCTTAGCCGGACACTACGACTTGAAGCAGAAAGTAAATTTGCATTTTAATGGGGATGAACTTCTCTAATGGCTTCTACTGTTATCCAAACACAATTAATGAATTAAAAAGACCTGCTTGGAACATTAATCACAGCAAACGGCTCCAAACACATGCTGTAAGATATCGTTAAATTGATTCTGTTTGATATAGTAGAAAAGGTAAAAATGCAAAAGGGCAAACTTTTCTTTCAGTTCCTGGAGTCCATGGATTTTTATGTTTATTTCTGCTGGTTTAAACTATGATAAATCAGTACCTTTAGCGGCAGTGAGCATCGTCGAGGCCAGCTCACACTGCTGAGACTCCAGGTGGCCCAGAGTGAACCAGCGAGGGTATCTGCTGGGAACAATGGAGATCCCGTGATGAGGGTGCCCCACGTCCCCAGAACCTGCTGACGACTCCAGAACCGGCAGCCTAGAGGGCGATCAAGAGCAAGATATATGTTGAGACATCAGGTGGAAGGAATTTTACAACAATTAGTAGGCCACTGGTTTAAAACGCTTGTTGTAAAGGTGACTGAATTCTCTAAGATTAGATAGAAATTATACTTATTTTTACATACAAATCTATTCGATTATTTTAGCAGCAGTTTGGTAAATATAGTTTTTTTTTTTCATTTTTGTTATTTAGTTAAACAAAAAAAAAAAGCAATTACATGATGTTTGCCATTTCTGTGTAAAAGCCTGTAAACGTAGATACGTGTATCTGACCTCATGGCACGGAGCGCCACCTTATAAGCAAGGTCTGCATCATGTGGCAGCAGAGCTGAGAAGAGGTATTTGGCAAAGGTGTGCATGGGTACGCTTTCTCTGTGGATGACTTCTCCCAGCCCGCTGAACGGACCCGCTGAAACCGAGAGGGAGACGAATTAATAGGTCGTTCCTTATTTTGTCTTCAGTTCTGTGTCCCATAAACGTGTCTGCAGGGCAGTGAAAAGCACGCTGCGGTAAACTTACCCTCGAGCAACTGTATGGCCTGCTTCCGAAGCGTCCGAACCAGGAGATCATCCAGCTCCAACTCTTGCAGTTTGGAAACTATCTGTTCCTCATTACGACAGACCTGGATCATGGAGAGAAGGCATGTGAGTCTCACTGTAAGTAGGCAATCACATTATCTTCTGATTAAACAGCCCTGAAGAAACTATTTCTAACCATATTAATCAGGAGAAGTTTAAAAAATACTTTGTTCAAATATAATACAAATACAGGTTAGATATACGACAGTCAGATACAAAATACACTAGTCTTAAAACATCTTTGTGGAGGAGTTTACAAGGGCTAACAGCACATTTCTCTTCCAGCACAGTAAGCCTAGGAGCTGCAGAGAGCCACCGCTCAGGTGGGAAAACCTGACAACAGGTCATCCTGCCATGTTTCAAAGAGGCTCTGAGAAAAATCCTAGTGACTTTTTTCCCACCTCTTCAAATATGAAGAACTGTGCTCTGTTCAGATGAGATTAACAACATCCCCAGGGGGAAAACACAGACAACAAGCAAACAAAGACTTGAGAGTAAAGGCAGAAAATCACCTACAACACAACAAGAGCTAGAGTCGACGTGTTTCCATCTAACTTTTGACATATTTTAAAGTATCAAGTTCGAGAGATTGATGGAAACGGTTTAACAAAACATGTTTTACACTTGCTTTCGATGGTTTTTTTTTTTGTTTTTTTTTTGAAAAAGTGCAAATGAGGAGAAGGAAACTTTTTTTTTGAATAAGTTCTGGCGTGGCGAATATGTACCCAACATGACTGATCAAACTTTTCTGTCGCCGATGTCGTCCTAAATGCAGCATTAGACTCCTTCCTCTCCCGATGTCTCTCCGGATGGATGGAACTATCGCTATTTCTAGCTGACGTGATACATTTAATAAAACCTCTCTCCATTACAGATTTGTGCCCCAAGCTAGCTTGCTAACTCTATAACCTGTTTATTACAGCTATGTGTAAAGTTAGCATATGACCACATTACGTTTTCCATGGAATCATTAATTTGTTCCAGTAGTTGGAAACATTTTCGTTTTTTGACTTTTAAATAGTTTGCTCAAAATTCTCATCACATCTTAACTAAAAATGATGGTTAAAGATCCTTAAAATCCAACCTAATTTTGAGTCTTGAAAGGATTCCAGTCTAATAGAGGCTTGTGTTAAATGATGTTGAACCCTATGCATCACTATCCATCAATTTCACAAACAGGTTCAACTTTCTGTCGCTTCATCTCTCCAAACCCTGATGAAATGCACACAGGCAGTGGCTGAAATGATTTGAAATGTGTCAAAGGGGGATATGCATACTTTAGTGAAGCCAAGTAGCATTAGAGAGATTTAAAAAAGCAACAGCAGGGCACTCTGGTACTTCTTTCGCTTTTTTTCTCACTCCACTTTGTACCAACTTTGGTTTAGTTCCAACCAACCATCTATACGAAGGTCCTCTCTCACATGTGATTGGTTTTAAATGTGATTCTTGCCTAAAACATTAATATTGTTGATAATTCCAGTGACATTAAGAAAGGTCCGCAGCAACCACGCTAAGCCCTGAAAAGCAGATTACCATTTACACAAAGAAATGCTCCCCGGATTTATTCCAGTGCGCTGAGAACTTAAGTGCTGCGACTTTCTGCTTGTTTTTCAAGAAAAGAAAAATGCCATGACCTTTTCTATGCCTTTTTTTGCTTGACATTTACTTCCAACTGATGTTAAATTATAGTGATTTTCTATCAGTGAAACACTGTCTTCCACAGGAACATATTTTTTCTAAATATGCAGCGAGTGTATTTTTAATAAAGCACAAACTAATAAGCAGGAAGAAGCAGGAAATAAAAGATCCACACTTCAAAGTATCCACCGTAAGGCACAGTAATCATTTAACCCTTGAACTGTTTCACATGTCAGGCGATGATTAAACTTCTGTTAACTTATTCAATTTTTATATTATAAATCAACAACAGCTCATTTATAGTGAGCTTGGAAATCAGTTTACCCCATGTTGAAACATGGTGGTGGTGTAATCATGCTGTGGGGATGCTTTTTCTTATGTTTGATATACGGTAGGAAAGATGGTTTTTAGTTGGATTGTTCTAAAAATAATTAATTTAAATAGGGATTTTTTCAAAAAATACAGATAAAATTTTGGCGATAATCTGAATGAATATTTTTTGAGAAGCACCCTGCCACAAATAATTACCTTATCCTGGGCATATAATCCCTCTGGCATTATCCTCTGCTGGCCCATGCCCATCAGAGCCACCTCTAAGGCCAGAGTGAGGTAGGACTCTCCTCCGTCTGGACATCCCCACACTGGAGCATGATGGTAGACTGGAGGCCTGGGGTCACCTTCTTGGAGAAAACAGGGAGAGAAGATCATGAAATCCAAACATTTACTGTTCAATGATAACAGGGGAAAGAAAGCAAGAGAAAATCATGAATTAATTAACATTAAAGACATTTACTGCTTTTTTCTACTTAAGCAGCTCCGATTATTTGTTGTTTCTTTTTTGTTCCAAAGCCTTATTTTTGTGTTCTTCAGATTAGCTCTCCGAAACAGAATTGACAATTCGTTTATCATTTATTACAAGTTTAACTGAATGAGTCAAACAAACACAAATACAAATGTAAATAAAAAGCAAGAAATAAGAGCAGAAATCAAACTTTAGTGTTTTTTTTTTGTTTTTTTTTGGCACATTAGCTCCCAGGAGTTTGGAGTTCTGTATTGGTATATAGAATATATAGAGAGGTTTTTATTTAAAGGGGAATGAAACATGTCTGCAACCTTAATTTGAGCCTGTCTTTCTGAAACGGCTGCTTACCCAGCACTCCTGCTTTACACAGTATAAGTGAGAACAGATGCCCAGGGAGCCTCAGCTGTTGATTTGTTCTCTCCCGCTCCCCCTGCCCCATCATTCAGCTTAAATCCCCTCTGAGCAACAGATCCCCCTCTAAATCCTGTTTATTTCAGGGATATACGGGTAGGGAGTCTGTGCATCTCCCCCTCTAAATCAGGAGTGGGAAAAATAGAAACGTATTTGACAGATTTCACCCCTCTGGTATGGTCAATTTATTTCTTCCTACCCAGCAACCCAGTAGTTGATTTGATAAGCTGAAGGAGGGAGGGGGGGCGGTGTGCTCTTATTGGATGACAAAAGGAGAAGGCCACCCACAACATAAACAGATGTTTCCAGCTGTTCTCCATAGGTTCTGAAAACATGAGTATCGAGGTAAAAATGAAACCAATGTGTTACTTGATTCATATTCCTAACACAGCTGGGGGGGCTAACATGAGACAGACACAGATGGCTGTGCCAGTGTTCTGTTAGCATTGTTAGATTGGACAATAGTTCCCTCTAGCTTTGTGACAATGAAAAGCAAAGCCCTATTCTGATCTGTTGCAAAGAGGAGAAACTGAGCAAAAAAAAAAAAAAAATCTAATGGGGAGGGATTCTATACATACTACACACACAAACTACCGGGGTGGGTTGTAAATGAGCGCCTGTTCCAGTGCAGCCTATTCAGTCACTACTACTTTATGACTGTGTAGAGCTTTACGGCATTACAGTCATTAGGTGCATTTCCACTTTAGGAACTTCTTCTAGGAACTAGGGTCGTTTGCTGTGATCATTACAGATGCTCTTTTTTTCCACATCATATATAAAAGGTAAAAATAAATCAACCAGATAGAAATCTAATTCAGAAAAAGACCCTGGTGGGGAAGTAGTATTTTCTGTTTCACTCTGAAACTTCACATTTTAGACTGAAAACATTTCAGCGTTTTTTGGTTAGTATTAAACACAATTTCCCTGTGGCCACATAAAAACTCTGCCAACCTTTGTGCAAGGTGCCATGACTTGCTATGGCTCCTAAAGAGAGCAGAAAGGACCCAATCTGAAGCCCTACAGTATGCAGTGTGACTTTAGGGTGTGATGGATCTAAAATCCTGCAGAAACAGAAGGACTTACTACCGGTAACTCTAAAAGTAATATTTTCAGTGTAGACCTATTTCGTTAGAATGACTAATAATGTTCATGTCCCAAACACAAACTCCCTGGAAACCAGATTCTATGCTACTGTATGAGGAGTCTAGACCAATGTTGAAATAAAATGGTAGCTTCTGATTTTCAATTCTTTTTTAGTAAAAAAATTTTTAACTAGTTTAGCTGGCTTGTTTTTCCTTAAATGTACCGTATTAGTTTCAGTTATAGTTTTTGTCTTTTATGTAATGCGACTTGCATACCGGGGGAAAGGAAAACACAAAAGAACCCCAGCCGCTAAAAAATAAAATCTCAGATAAGGAGAGACCGCTGCAGAAACACAAATTACCTGGCTGCTGTACCTGCAATCTGCTGACGTAAAGTTATAGGGAGAATTGACGAAAATAGCAATCGGACACTACACCTCATAAAATGGAATATATGATGAAGACGCAAACATTCACCCTTAAAAATCAGTTTCATTAAATTTTTTGTAAATTGATTACAATTTCAGGTTTTTTTTTTTGTCTAGTTAGGATTTTTATTTCAGTTAACGCAAAAAAGTTTTTCTTATATTCCAGTTTGCCTCATTTCGTTAGTTTTAGTTAACGTTAATAACCTTGGTCTGGACAGACTTCAGAAAGTGAGTAACAAATGTTTTGCTATTTATGACAATAAAAGTCAAATCAAATTACTAAGATTAATGAGATCAAAATGTTCACTAAAAATGATCAGTTTCTCTTTTTGTCCAATGGGGGAGCTGCCTACAGATCAATAACAGCTCTTCTTTGGCCTGTGTTCCATTTCCATGGTAATGGTGTTGTTATGGTAAAAGGTCGTATCCAACTTCACCATTACACTGGGTTTGTATTCAGATGGAATATTAATATATTAAGGCTTTTAAATCCATCAGTTAGGTTGCATCTCTTTCAAGTAGTCAGTCAGTGACTGTTTGAAGGCAAAATCAGGAAAACCCAAATTGCTTTTTTTTAAATATTTTTCTATACCTCCAGTGTCCATGGTGTTGTCATCATCAACCCGACAGGTCTCTGTAAGCGTGGTGAAAAGACAACCAATGGGGTCTAAGGGGTGGCCCACCCAGCCTTCCAGGTTGGTGGTGGAGGTGACGTTTCTCTGGAGGAGCTCTAGAAGCAGAAAAAAGAAAAGCCAGCTAATATTAGAAGAACAACAATAAAGCACTTCAGACGGCCCTCTCCACAGCTGCTAATGTTCAGACCTTTCTTCTGGTGTTTGTAGATGTCCATCTGCCTCTGCTGCTGGAGACGGAGCGTGTTAATGATGGCCACGGCCAACCGCAGGGCTTCTCTGGTGTAGCCATGGGATCGCAGGGCATCAACGCGAGCGCATGCGGTCGGGACATGGTCTGTGTGTCGGATGGGAGAGAAATAGGGTGAGACAGCTTCGCAGAGTCAGGCGGTGTTTAAACACACATCCACACGGTGCAGCCTCAGCAGGAAGCCGGAGAGTGTCTGATAGGTGGCTTAAGTTGCAGAATCTGACAGATCTGAGCTGGAAAGCTGCTTACTGCAGATACTGGCCTTAATATCAGCAAAAAATGAATGAGTGTGTGTGCGTGTGAGAGTGCACTGGGTTAGCTTCAAAAAACTTTAAGAATGTGGATAGGTGCTGTTATTCTAGAAACTTTTATTCAGCTTCCAAATCAGAGAAGTGACTCAGAGATTCTTAGTTTAAAGAGGAAATAAATGCATAAAAGCCCTTTAAAAATCCAAAATCAAGAAAATGCGGTTAGTCTCACTGGGAACGTGTATTGAAATAGCACCTAGCCAGAGCGGCAGCCCCTGTGGGTTGAACAGCAAGCTCTCCCCCTCTCTCTGATAGGATGGAGACATGTAGTAGTCGCTGCTGATGATCCTCTGCAGGTGGCTGTCCTGCCAGTGGAGGTCGCAGGCCTCGACGGCTCGACTGAACACTGTTCGTCTCGGTCTGGACAGAGAATCTGAGAGAAAACACGACAAGCATTACGGACGTCATGAGAAGCAGCCTGGAAACGAAGAGGTGAGTGCCATCCTGCAGACCTTGAGCGAGGTTACTTTGTGGCAGCGCGTTGGTAATGTTCGGCAGCTCGCTGCCGTAGTTTCCGTCCTCCAGCGGGCAGACGTCCATGTCTCCCCACTTTTTCAGCTGCTTCAGCCAGCTACTCTTTTCATCACTTTTACAGTGTGGATTCAGCACCACACATACCCACAGTGCACCTGGGGAGGAGAGAGGGATCCATTAAAGTACACAAAGAAAAAATCTTTAATGCATTTAAAAATAACAACACCAATTAAATATTTTATTGGAGATTGATGTGATAGGAAGACAAATTATTCCAACATTATTAACTGGAAATAGATTTGGCAGAAGGACGTATTTTAAAGCTGAGTTATAGGTGTGAAAACCAAGACAAAGCTGCAGTTTTCTAGCAATGATCATTTTCCTCTTTACAAAGATTTGGTCTATCAAATAAATTGTAGTTATAATGAGACAAAAATGTTCAAGATTATGCAAATTCTTTGATAGTTTAAGAAAGAAAAAACAGAAATCTTTACTGGTAGTAAAACTAGAAAATTTTAAACTACAAGTGTCGAATCAGCTATAAAAGTAAAATCAAGTATTTTTACAGATGTTTAACAAATTACATAAAATGTTTTAGACATTAGAGGTCCAAACTCTAAAAAGATTTTTCATAGGTTTGCCACTTTTAAGATGCTGTGACCACAGAGGTGATCAGTACTGGTTAAGCACACCCAACTCCCAGCTGTACCACCTATCAGATCCCAGAGAAAAATGACCCGACCATCTGGCTGTTATTTCTGTCTGTGTCATGATCTCACTCGCTCGCTCGGGAAGTGTTCTTATTGACCTCCTAAATGCTGAGATTGATTGCAGAGAAGTTGAGCAGCAGTATTGATCCGTAAACCTTTATCATCCCCTGCATGCCGAGAGCAGGAGGAAAGGGTGCGGGGGGAAGTGAGGGGTTGGGGGCCGCTGCAGACTACCGAAAAAAAAACACTGCATCTTAACCTAACCAGGTGAATGCACATTTGTGGTGTTTGGTCTGACATGCAGTGACCGATGAAGTGGCCATCAGCCTGTCTAATTATTGTAGAAAATAAATCAAAAGCTTCATTGGTAGTTTTTTCGCCCCATTATTTTCCTCTGACTTCTTACCCAGCTCATCCCAAAGTTGTCGACACTTGTCCGTCATCCCTGTGCCTTGCTGTCTCCATAGAGACAGTCGGGGGTCTGCCATAAATTGCTCAGTTATCAGTGTTAGCATTCGAGCACCATTGGAGTCTCGCATTCTAAGCATCTCCCGTACCTAAAAAAAATAAAATAAAAATCAGCAATTTGTAAGAAATTCATACGATTATGAACAATATCAACCTTGTAATATGATCTATGCTGCTTCTAATGAGTCAGTAGCTGTGAATGAGCAGATGGAGGCCAAACTCTGAACAGGAAGGCTGGCGGATTAATTTTTCTGCCAAAAAACGCCTACACACAAACTTTTCAATTTCAAACTATTCTCTATTCATTTTATTTTTCTTACTCCATCAGACATAGAAAACTTAAGAGCAAATAGACATATTTAGGGGAATTTCAACCTAAACACTATTCTGCGTATCAGCAACAGTTAGTTCATAGGTCTGCTGATAATTGCCTAATCTTTACTTGACGTCAAACTGCAGAGGAAACCCAACTACAAACTGAAGAAATCATTAGTTCCTTCAAAGCAGTGAAAACATGTAACACTTTATGTTAAAAGAATGTTTTCTCATTAAACCAAATTAGAAAGCTCTATAATGAAGACAGTTAAAAGGAAAAACAAACAGTTGTCTAAACAATAGGCAAAAAGGAACACAATTGAAAGATGGAGATAAACTGTACAGACTAATTATTTAAAGTGACTCAAACACACAGAAGCATTTGAGACTATATAAGAACTTCTATGATTATTTTTTTTGGACACTGTGGACAATAAGTAGTTCAGGATTAAAAATATAGTCAAATTTATACATGTTTATTGTGTGCAGACATTGGCCAGAATAAGAACCTCAGAGGTTAGTAAAATTCCTAAAGCACTGACGCTAACTGATCTAAGTATTGGTGTTTAAAAAAATATTAATAATAAATGAGAAATTCCATAAATATTTTTATAGCATTTGTAGAAGGATGATGCATGAACAATATTTAGCTAAAGTTGCATAAATTCCAACAGAAATACAAAACATAGCGGATGTGCAATAGCTTGATTTCTTGAGAAAAGTACTCTGGTCTTCATCAGTGCAAAACTTAAAAGAAATGTCTGGTAGGATCCAACTAGAAATCCATTCTAACTACTTCTAAGTTGTGAAGTAAAAAATGTGAATGATTACTACCCGTTTTTTCATTTTACTTGCCACCACAGTAAAGGATTTGAGTTTGGTAAATATACCCCCTAAACCATAACCAAAAAAAATAAAAACTAAAGAAAAATAATTTATATAAACACATACATACACACTTAAGATAATGCTAACATAACAGAACATGGTAAAATGTGCTTTTTTTAAGTTGTGTTGCAAAGTATTCAAGAGGTATGCTCACATTTGCTTTCATGTTAGCGTTAGCTCATGATTCACTAATAGCATAACAGCCAACACCAGCTAACCTCCACAAATATCCTAAAATTATTTATATGCCCTCGTCAGTTGAAATACTACAACTGACAAACATTCTAACATTAAAACATTACTTTATGTATGTAAGCTAATATATACGTTTGAGCTAACAAGCTTCTAATAGCTTGGTAGCTAACAGCAGCTAACACTTAACTGTTACACTAGGTGCTATTATTAGTCAAAATGCTAATGTTTGCTTATATATATTTAGCCATCAATAGAAATATAATTTACTATAGTAAAGATATAATTTACATGTTGGCATTTACAATTTGCCTTTCATCTAAGCCTTTGAAAACTGTAAGAACTATGTTAGTTAAGGTTGAGTCATACTGGCAGGTAAAGGATTTTTATAGAAACAACAATAAAAAAAGAAAGAAAACAACTAAAACAAAGACTGTAAAATGGGTTATAACTTGGTGAGATTGATGAAAGGTGACTGTTGGAGAGCTTTATGAGAAGTTTGCCAAAGTGTCTATTTTACTCTTATAGGTTTATTGAGTCTGAAAGTCCAAATCTGTCCTACTTACTATATACATGCTGTGTGTTTATAAATGGGGCACGTTTATTTTGCGATTCAGAGATTATACTTCATATTTTACCCAAAGCAGATGTACTTCAATTTGACACCATGCTTCTCTTCCTGCTAGACTCAATGCCTTGCCAATGAACTACTGCATAGGTCAGCACAAAATAGAGCAGGGATCTATCCCGGGTCTGAGCTACACTACAACAGTTGCAGAGACTTGTGTTTGGTGTGAGCTTTCAGTGCCATGGTCTTATATGATAAGATTTTCCATCAAAGCAGAAGCTATATCATGTCTGGTGTATTCTGGCTTTTATGAAAGGTTGTATCCCTCCATGCTTTATACAGGCAACAAAACTATTCCACAGAACATAATCAAAGATACTTATGATGACTTGAGCTGGAGGATATTCAGGCTTGGCATTATCCAAGCAGCCCTTGTTGCTTGGTTTACCTTCAGGTTTCCAAGCACAAACAATCACTCAGGGAATTACACTGTTTAATCTCATTCTAATTTATGCGTATGAACTGATGATGTGAACCTTTGCGAACATGGAGTTGAGCTGCTTCCCAGAGCCGTAGTATCCTCCCTGCGACAAAAACTGTTTGACCTGCTCCCTGACTTGATCCTCGTCCAGATGCCAGCAGTTATCATCGTCAATGCTAGCCCCTGCAGTCGGGTCTGGAGCACCTGAGAAGATAAATAGAGACAGTGAATGACAAGCGGAGAAAACTGGAAACAGAAGTACAGCAGGAGTCGGCAACATCATAAAAAAAGAAAATGAAAATGTAGATTAATAAAGTGTACATCTACATGAGTATATTCTATTTATTCCAACTTTAAGACCAAACTGACTGAAGGAACCATTTTTAGTTTACCTACCCAAATAAAAATTGGACTTTTAAGTTATTTAATGCTGACAATGATTGCAATCAGAGAATCATATCACTCCATGCCTTAAATCTTTTAAATTCAACTTACAGCGCAGCTAAGTCCCAGATCAGAAATACTGCTCGAGTTAGGTTAATCATCCACTGAGGGAACTCGGAGCCAACTTTATTTTTCTTCTGGTTGGCTGTGTGAGTCTGAGTAATACTGCGGAGAAATGTAGATGTGCTCCGGTGGGGGAAAAAGCTGCTTTGATCTTTCAGGAAACAAGCTGAGGAAAGCCCAGAGATGTGTTTCCAGACCGTCCGGGAGAGCACAGCAGCAAACAAGCAACATTCCTGCATCAAAGACACTCTCACTCCTGGACCAACTGAACTCCAACCCCCATGATCCCCCTTGTCAAACATAGACAGGAAACACAGCATGGGGCTTCCTGGATGCAAGTATTGGAGAATGTCAACATTTAACGTGGAGGATGAAACAGGGATGGAGATAAAGACTTTTGTTTGGTGAAAGGATGTGTCTGGTTTGTTGTTGTTCCAGTAATGCGGAGATGCTATGGTTTTCTTCTATTGTTTAATCTCAATCCTTCTTTTTAACTCTTTCATCTTTCCTCCCCTCTCATCTGCTTTCTCCCGTTTCCCTGAAAACCATTTCCTTCGTCTTTTCCCCTCAGCATCCTCTTCCCACGTCTTTGCCTTTGTCCATTTCATCAATCAAGTTGCCTTTTCTCCGATTTCTCCAGCGTGCCTCTGTCAGTCGGGGGGTGGTGGCAGAAGAGATGAAACTGAGAAATCAAATGAGCCGTTTGAAGCCTCCAGCTTGCGGCACCTCCAGAGTAATCAGGTGCCTGAACATGTGGCAGCCTGTGGGCTAGCAAGCAGCATTTATGAGTCTGACGGCTTTCATGTCCAGCCTGGAGCTGGGAAGATACCTCTGTAGAGTGACGGTTTGGACTGCCACTAGGAAACCGCTTGTAAAGAATACGGAAAAAGCGAAGCGACATCTGCATCAACTGTCGCTGATGGATTTGGACCAAAGGCAAGATGGTGAGGTTGACCTAAGAGGCAACTTCAGTTAGAGTTTTAAATGAAGCAGCTGGATTCTCACCATGAACCTGGTTGATCTCAGAGTTTGAAGACAGGATCTCGTCTGCCAGTTTCTGCGCTGTGGGCAGCACCTCAGTGTGGTGGGCCGTGATCAGATACTGGACCAGCTTCTGCAGCTGATCTCTGTTCATCTGGAACAGAGTTTCTGATATGGGCAACCGTAGCTTCACCTGCAGAAAACAGAAAAGCCAGACAGATTACAGATACATGCTGCTCATAAGTAGCCTCTAGTAAAAAAAAATTTCTGGTATAATCTGATCAGATTAGGCCAAAAACTGACTCCTTAAACTTATTTCATTAATTTGTAACATTAAAACAACAAACGTTTATTCAATTAACTAACATTTGTGTGAAACACCAAAACATAGAAGTGCATAAATGTAAAGCGCAAAAACAGTGTTCAGATTAGGGCTGAAACAATTAATTGGATTAAACGCAATTATTTGATTATTGAAAATAACAACTTAATCGTTAATTGGAGTCTACAGACTCTAAAACATGCCTTTAGCTGACAGAGCAACCCACATAAAGCAGCAATTATATGGAAATTGTGAAGAAAATATATATATATAGGTAAATATTTTGCGTTTCCGTCTGTGGATACGCTCTATCCAGAACTCCAAGTAGAACCGTTTTTGTTTCACCTGGTTTAAATCTGTACAAAAACATCTTCTTTAAAGAGCCTTTTGCTATCAGATTATCAATTGATTAATCGAAAAAATGATCTCAGATTAATCGATAAGCAAAATAATGGTTATTTGCAGCCCTTCTTCAGATCTATGTGTAAAAATGTAAAAAAGCTCAGCGTCATTTCATTCTCTTTATTTGGTTCAGTGGATCACATAAAACATCTTCAAGTTTGAAGTTGCTGTGAGATAAATAAGTCACAGTATAATCCTTTCCTACATTAACTTCTCACCTGCTCAGGTTTACGGATCCTATAGAGGGAGAGCGCGACCACGTGGGAGCAGTAGAAAATGTCTCTGTTTCCACAGCCACAGGTGACGGAGGTGATCTTGCAACGATCGAAGCTGATCGCCACTTTATGGGTTACCTCCGGTTCCGAAGCTGTGGCCGGCTCAGTCACGGTGCCGCTAAGGTGAAACCCTGGAGACAGAGAGGGAAGGGAGAGACACACTGATTAAAGCATTTTTTTTCTATGTTCTCACAATCCAAATTATGGTAAATCAGAATTACAAACAAGACAGTACCGGTCTCCTAATACGCCTGTATTTTGTGTTTGATGCAAAGCATTTGTGCTTTCTCTTTAGAAAAAGGTAGAAATCATTTCAACCAGGACACACATTCTGCCCCATAGATAGTAAAGAGAGCTGATTAAATAAACATTTTGGTTTTTACAGCTAATGTTTATTGCTGCCCCACACACCAAGCTGACCATTTCCTCTGATCCTCTGCTGGGCTGTTGTTACACAACGGCTGGCAACTGTTTTCACAACATTAAATCAGGCATAATTGGTTGTACTTAGCCAGCTGTTTGTCCAATTTCACAAACAGGTGGACAGATCCTTAAAGACGGCCGAGTTGTTTTACAACAGAGTGCCATGTTTTAGTGGTCAGTCGATCGCTGGGTTACATTTCTCTGAAAATTATAAAAGATCCTTTTGATGTAATGTAAAATATATAATTTAGTAATATTTCACTAAGTAGACATTGAATCTGCTGTAGATGTAGGTCGTAACCTTTTTACACAATTTTGTCTAGCAAACTTGATAAAAAAAGATTGCATATTGCTAAATGGGATGAACCGAGGAGTCCCTCAAGCCTCTGACCTTGGGCTTTATCAGTCCCTGGATGATATTCTACAACATCACAGATAATCAGTAATTAAATAAATTCTCCAATCTGAATATAAACATTTTTTCCTGAAAAACAAAGCAGAGTTGGCACACAGTTTTAATTTAACTAATGACTGATTAGGTTTTCCCAGACTATAAAACTCAGGATATGCTGTGTCTTCCAGTGACCCTGAAAACAAAGAATAAAGGGCAAATGACTCAGTATTTGTTGAAAAGAAGTGGAATTCATTGGCATTTGATGAAAAATTTTTAAGGAAAAAAAAAGACTTGTACCACCTACTAAGCTGACCTTTTACAGCTCTAGCTCTAAAAGGGGATTATTGTGACAAGAAAGGACAAACTGAACAAAGACCTCAGTGCAGAGTGGAACAAAACCAAGGAGAAAACCTAGAGAAAGGAGTGTGATGAGGAAACAGAGGATGAAATGGAAGAGTAGAAAGAAAAAATGAAAGGGAGAAAAGCATCTGATGCCATGTCCTCCGACTGTGACAGGTCAATTCTGTATAAAAAAAAAAGAAGAAAAAAAAGGGAGAACTAAACCCAACCTAAATATAGCAGGCACACTGCTGCTCCTACAGCTCAGGAGAGAAGAAGCAAAGAAACATGGAGGCAGGTCCATCAAGTCATTCACAAAGCAAACCTATAGCATCATATGCATATATGGACCTAAACGTCACCGCTACACCACCGCTGACCGGCTCCAACACACCCTCACACAACTATTAACACCATGCTTGCATGGTAGGGCAGTAAGTGTTCAACCCATCGCCAATGCAAAATTCAAGGTTTCTCAAGATCATCCGCATGAGGTAGGAAAAAAAAACGCAGGATCCATTCCACTGCCAACGTATTGGACCGATGAGAAAAGTTCAAGGGACAAGAGGTACCCTGGCGACACTCCTGCAACCACTGCCATACAACAGCCAGCAATGTTCAAGAACTCAACTGGTAAAAAGAAATCCCAACTTCAGAGTTTCTGTCAACATTAAAGTTATAGTAGGAGATTATAAAATGCAAGCAAACGGGTGAATGGGGGACAACCGTCTACGGCAAGCCACAAGCAGGACATAATTCAGCGCCATGTGGAGGAAGACCATAAGCGAGGGCAAAGAAACAAATAGATCTGCAGAAATGTATTTATGTGGTCTGCTTTAACTACAGGCTGCTGCTTTTTCACCATTTGCCACAAAGGTCTATTTATTTTTGACTGTGTGAAACTATCTGAGAGACAAATGTGTCAACATGCCAATTGAAAACTCTGTTAAATCTATTTTTAAGCCAGTAACTGATCTGTGGGCTGACATGCTTACACAGTGACCTAACAGGGACATCTGGGTCACTCCTTTTGGAGACTTCTCTGTTGTATATTCATTGTTAAATAATGAATCACTAACATTCACTAAGAATTTATAGAAGATATTTCTAAAGTAGAAACGTTATTACCAGAGATCATGAGAAAGAACAAACGATAAGAAAAGAACATGCTTCGCTAAAGCCATTTCATTTTGTTGCCAACAGCATTTTAAAGCTTTCATCTAGGCATCATCAATAAGCGTGTTTACATTTTTACAAGCTTCTTGCTGTAAATGGTCAATATTATATGTCAGAACCAGAGGCAGCATTAAAATATGAGTGAGGGAGTCATTCAAAGTATTTGTACCATTTCACAAATTATCACCTATTTAATAAGCTGACATTTAAATACCAAGTGGAACAATTGTTGTTTTTAAACGCATGCCAATATTTACTCCATTTATAGTCCTGTATAGCACAGACTCCAGTGGCCATCAACTGCTAATCAAGCTAAGAAATCCTCCAATCCTATTCATTAGACAACTTTTGACGCCAATCATACACTGCTGACCAAGATGGTCTGTCGTTTGCACCAAAACAAGGCATCTGAACATGACAGGATGAAAAAACTGAGGAAAAAGGAGAGGCCGATGCATCTGCTGGTGATAGATACAAGGAGTCCTGAGTGTTTCAACCTCCTGCTGAGTCCCCCAGCTTAAAAACTCTTTGCAGTGCAGTAATATTGGTAAGTGGCAAGCAAGGCTTCCCATTTCCAGACTGTACAGTGATGCAGTTAGTAGCAACGTTGCCTTGCATCAAAAAGGCTCTAGTTTTTACTCCTGGCCTTGGGTTTCCTGCATTTCCTTCCCGTGGATATCTGTGTTCTCTCCTGGTGCTCCAGTTTCCCACCACAATCCAAAAATATGAGTGTTAGGATGATTGGCTTCTCTGTTGCCCTTAGGTATGTGTTTATGGTTGTCTGTGTTTTCCTGCGATGGACAGGCGGCCTGTCCAGGGTGTACAGCGCCTTTTACCCTGAGACTGCTAGAGAATGGCAAAAGCCCCAATTGGCAGTAGATTGATGAATAGACGGATGGGTTCCACTCTCTCTCCTTCGTTTTTGATATGAATACTTTTAGATCTAGTTTTTGCTAACCATCGGCTTAATGTTGGGGTCCCAAAATTTGGCAGAGCCTAAGTGCAGAAATAAAAAAAAAGTGTATTCTTAAAAGCATGTGAGACTTTTGAAAGCTACTACCTCCCTTCCCAGTAGTCAAAATAATATCCTGTCAGCCATCAGTCACTTCTGTGCTTGTCTTGAAACTCTTGCAGAAAATGCCCAAAGTTTTTGTTGTCAGGTGATGGTTAGCGTCAAGTATTTCCCCCCCGGCTGATAGAGCTCACACTCATATGCCTCCTGACCAGTCGACCCTTTTTCTTTCCGCCTATGTCTGTTAGGTTAAAGCCCATTGTTGCTCAGGCCACCAAGATGAATGTGATGGTGACACTGCTGCTCTTTTCACTTTCAATCAAGTCTAAAATGGCTCACTCACAGTACACAGTCTGTCTGTCTGGCACCCCTCCCCTCTGGCTCTGCTGCTCAAAGAAAAACCTCATCCCCGCAGGCTTTAATTACCAAAGTTAGTTAGCAGCTTTGAGGTTTCACACCTTCAGACAGCAAGCCCTTAAACCTTCTCCGCTTTCCTTTTTATAGTTATGCATTTGTCAAAAGCAGGGCAGCATATTTGGTCTTGGAAGTCATCAGGGAGTTCTGTTTTTTTAAACAAGGCATGTTGTATCCATGTTTTCACATTTTAAAAGTAGCTACCTACTCAGGCTCCAATATGAGAGGAAAAACAATCCTCTTATCTGACGTCAGGAGAGAAATCAAAATGTAATTGCTGTCATTATTTGGCCTTCATCACAAGCTAAAAGAGTTTCAAAGCTAAAGGGATGAAATTTAATCTCATTATTTACAAAAAAATAATAAAATAATATTAACAGACAGCACACCAATCTCTGTTGTTGTGATTATGACCCATAAGAGAAGGGCAGTATCTCTTAACCTTGTGTTATTTCTTTCTTCAAACATAGCTCCTGTGTGTTAGTGTGTGTGCGTCAACGCTGTGGTAGACAGCGTGTCTTCAGCAGATGGGGAAGCAATGACACTTGATAATAAAAGATGTGGCATCAGACAGTCCTAGAGAACACACACACACTTATATTTAGGAACAAAAACACGATAAACAAAACAACCTTTTCAGAGGCTGTCTGCTTTTGTTCTTAATGCCACAGCGAACATAAAGAAGGGACGGTGCCGACTGTAGTCAGTGATATTCACAGTAGATACCACTAATCTCTCTCTCTCTCTCTCTCATACACACCAAACACACTTTGGTTGGGCAAAACAGATGAATTTCTAACAAAGATGAATTAGGGGTGTGATGTGTGTAAACTGGGAGGGTTGCCAAGTACAACGATCAGGCGTAATCCACAGGGAGGAGACAGAGACAAAAAAAATAAAACACACACAAAAAAATATGGGTCTCTTTGGTGTTTTTGTGGATTTTATCTGTTCTGCATACAGGTAGGCAGGCCACCCCAGCAAAACCACACACACTCTCAATCTGCCACTGGTGTTGATGGTCTATATTTACGACAGGGTAGTGCATACGTGTGGTGTTTGTGGTTAACGCGTTAAATGGAGCAGCTTTAATTCAAACCCCAGATAAAATCCACATTTGGGTGTGTTTTATTCAAAGTAGACACAAGGAACCACTGTGGCTTCTCTGTCTCATAGGTCAACTAAGCGAAAAGCGATATTGTACATGGATCTGTATTTTTCCAGTTTTTTTTTTTTTATTCGTTTAGGACAATTGGTGCGTGGGAGAAACCAACAGTAAGCTTCAAGTTACAGGACAGACAGCTATTGTGCATCTCTCTATTGTAATTAAATGTATATATACATGCATACACACTCCAGGCTTCTTCCTCTCC